ATACTGCATAGGTATACAGATACAGTAGATATAGCTAACTGTTCTGTGATACATACAGGTTCACAGATGTAGCTACATTTCAACAATGTATGTATAGTTCTCAATGACAATCACGAAGAACTAGGTTAAGTATTGTAGCAGAAACTACTATATCTTTAAGGGAATGGCAGAGGTATTATAACACTTTTACAAATATTCTCGATCGAGCTAACAACAAAAGTCTAGTTTACATACAAGTTGCTACATGTAAAACTTTTTCATGTACTTATTCGTCTTTAAAATGTAGGCAAGATTGATTTTCTAAACTCTATACCTTTTACCAGATATTGATGAGTGTTTAAGCCCAGACCATGGATGTGAACAGACTTGCGATAACACAGATGGATCATATGTTTGCAATTGCACTAATGGCTATGCGTTGAATGCTGACGGACGTACTTGCGATGGTATAACAAATCGTCCCTTGATAAAATGTTTAAATTTTCTTTTCTTTACCAGATATTGATGAGTGTTTAGCTACAGATCACGGTTGTGAAAATGAGTGTGAGAACACTGATGGATCTTACGTCTGTAAATGCAGGGCAGGATATGAGTTGGACATTGATGAACGTTCATGTCGAGGTTTGTAATAATTTTCTAATTTTGTGTTGCACCAATGTGTAAAGAGGTAGCAAGCGAATGGCCATCTTAATATTTTGCAGATATTGATGAGTGTTCGAGTTCCACGTGATGTAGATGTGACAAAGTGTACTAACACCATTGGTTCTTATGTGTGCAACTGCAGTGTGGTATACAGTTTGAATGTCAATGGCCTGGACTGTGATGGTACTTAATGTGCACATACTTATGCAGTTTAATTACGAGGCCTTCTGTACAGATCTGGATGAGTGTTTGCTGTCTATTCATCAATGCGATACGAACTGTGAGAACACCGAAGGTTCCTATGTCTGTAGCTGTGGTGAAGGGTATGAACTGGATACAGATGGATATACATGCATAGGTAACGAAATCACGAAGAAGTAGGTTAAGTAATTGTATATAGCGGACACTATCTCTAAAGGGATGGCAGAGGTATTATTCTCACACACTTTACAACACTTCTCGATCGAGCTAACAAACAAAAGTCTAGTTTACATACAATTTGCTACATGTAAAACATTTTTCATGTACTTGTTCGTCTTTAAAATGTAGGCCAAGATTGATCTTCTAAAACTCTAAACCTTTTACCAGATATTGATGAGTGTTTAGGAGCAGATCACGACTGTGAAGATATCTGTGTGAACACAGTCGGATCCTACACCTGCCACTGCAGGGAAGGCTATGAGCTCAATGATGATGAACGTACATGCAGAGGTATTGTGAATAATGGAATTGATTGCAAATAATGTTGTTTCTTACTAACTTAGATGTTGATGAGTGCGCAAGACTCATAGATGATTGTGAACACAACTGCATGAACACAGAGGGGTTCTATATATGTAGCTGTAGAGATGGCTATGCTCTGAATGAAGATGGTCTAACCTGCTCCGTGTCCTGTAGTGGTACATTTACTGATCTTCTGGGCTCCTTCCAAACACCAGACTGGCCTGGGAGCTACCCCATTGAGGATTTCACCTGTGTGTGGGAAATTACCATTGACATCTCTGAAGCCTCTATTATGATCCTGTTCCAAGAGCCTTACGGTGTCTTTGGTAGTGAGCCTTGTGAAACAGACTATGTAGAGGTATTCTATGGAGTAGGGAGCAATACTACCTCTGTTGCAAAGCACTGTGGTGTTAGTGTTCCTGACCGTATTGTGGTGGATGGTAATGGAGCCACTGTTGTGTTTCGAGGGAGCACGCACTCCCAGATGAACAGACCTGGAGTGTCCGTCGTGTACCGAGCAAT